GGGGGAAAGCATTCCCGAAATGGCAAGGTACATTTCGCTAACAGAAGGCAGAAACCATGCCCAAAGCCCTGCGATCCCGTCCGCTCTCCTCCCCCCCCCAATCTTCCTCTCAAACCGCCCGCTCGCCTCCTCCGCCCTGTCCTTCCTCCTCCGTCACGGCGGCGTTCGTACCTACCTCCCTCTCACCGTGGATCCAATCGGACCGCTCTCATCATCCACAACTCCTCGTTCATCTGTCTCTTCTCTTCTCTTCGTCGCATGTGCTCTCTGCCATCCTCTTATTAGGTGCCGCTGCAAACTTCACAAGCTTTACGATCACAGATGCCTCCTCTCCTCAGCCCGTCACTGACAGACACATTCATCCGCAACCCATCATAGAGAGAGAAGGATGAGAGAAGGGGGAAGAGAAGAAGGGGGGGAAGAGAAGGGAGAAGAGGAGAAGGAGGTGAATCCACAGTACTCAGCTGTTCATCCATCGCCCGGCCGTCGTTAACAGACACCAGCAACAACGCAGGTCACGGCCGTCATTCCCTTAGCGCATTGAACACACACACGGAGAAAGGGGACTGAGCGAGGAATGGATCAGTGTGTTCTCCTACGGCCTCGGATCCCTCCGTGATTGCGCACAGATTCCAACTGGCACCCTTCGACCAAAGGGTCCGCGACAGGCAGAGCGGGAGAATGAGATAATGCATGAAAGATCGACACACGGAAAACGAACGCAAGAGAGAGAACACAGCAAAAGAAAGAGAGAGAGAGAGAGAGAGAGAGAGAGAGAGATGGAGGTGTGTTGGCAAATAGGAAGTAGGATGATTCAAGAAAAGCTTTCCGGTGTTCCTCCAGATCAAAGTCGTAATCGGGCAGCATGAGCGCGGACAAGGGGGCTGCAAAGCAGACTGCTGCAGGGGGAGAGTGCAGAGGGAGGGAGGGAGGGAGGGAGGGAAGAGAGAAGAATACAGCAAGCAAGCTAAGTAGACAAAAGAATAACGATCGTATACACTTACTACATCTTCATCTAGGCTGTGGGCTGCAACAAGACGGGTAGCTTCCCTGCCTTTCTAGCGACGGCTCTGGACGAGCACCCCCACTCTCCTCCAGATCGAAGACGAGCTGTCAGAGGCGACGCGATCTGCAGCAGAGGGAGAGGGAAGAGCAGAAGAGGCGCCTGCCACTGAGACTGAGAGCCGTCCCGCGGAGGAGGGGGACAAGAGCGCAGGGGGAGGAACAGGCGGAGGAGTAAGTGCTGCTTTGTGCGCCCCCTCCTCCTGGCGGATCAATTGCGACCTACGAGGATGGAAAAGCAACAGCATTTGTTGGGAATCGGGCGGAAGACTGTGGAAGAGAGCACAGAGGTCTCCGCGGAGCTTCGCACAGACAGGCGGCTCAACGTCGGCGCCACCGACCAGACCTGCCCTCTCAGCCGCCGCCAGCTCAGCGATCAGCTGCCTCTCGATGACGGCAAAGGCGTCGACGATCTCGACCTCGGTCATATTGCCGAGACAGCTACGGATGTCGGACTTGAGCCGCGCTCTCCGCCAGTTGCGCTGCTGCTCCTGCTCCGCGGCAATGCGCCGCCTCTGGAACCAGGGCATGAAGTTTGGGCCCGCGAGAAACCTTTTGTACAGCTCCAGCCAGTTCCCTCGCATACGCTTGGCCAAGAACTTCCCCGGTCCCCGGGCTTTCAGACCCTCCAAGAAGGTCCCCGCATCGAAAGGCATCAAGGGCGGGGGCTCGTCGAAGGGGTAGGTGCCCGACGGCGGAGTCGTGGCGCGCAGGTAAGGACCGAACGGCGCGAGAAAGTTCGTGGTAAGTTCGACGAAGTGCCGACGAAGCATCTCGTTATTGACCATGGCCATGGACTCGTCGAGGCGAGGAGACGACAGCTCAATTTCGACCAACTTGTTCAGCACAGTGGTGTCTGGCTTCGTCGTCGGGCAGTACGGAGTCCATAGATCTTGCCGGTGCTCCGTCATCAAACAAAGGGGCCCCTCCCTCTTCCCTCTTGCCGCCTTGAACAGGTTTGTCGGGGAGAATCGCCGCAGACTGGCCAGCTTTTGTGCGCCCCCTCCTCCGGGAGATCCCCTTCCCCCCCCCCCTCCTCCCCCGCCGCCGCCAAACATCCCTCTGCTCCTGCCCATCAGCCCGCCTTGCCCGCCAATTCCACCTCTTCCACCTCCGGCGTGCGGAGACATACTCCCTGCACCCCCTCCACTGGTCCTCCCCGCCAATCCCATGCCCCCCTCCGGGACACTCCCGACGGCCACCACGTGCGGCATCGTCCTGAGCGCCTTCAGGAAGAAGAGATTGGTAACCCCCAGAACCATGGGGGGCATTCTCTCCCCCTCCCGCAGCGCATTCAGCAGGGGGAAATCCGGGTCGTGGATCGTGAAGTACGGTCTGAAATCGATGCTAAAAGGTAGGGGGGCCACGATACTGATCAGCGCCGCCACCGCCTCACTGCATTGCGACGGCGTGGGCGCCATCACCAAGAGCGGCTCTCCGAGCAAGAGGAGCTCCCACAACACCCATAACTGAAGCAACAACCCTTTGCACGTACCGAAGAGGTCAGCGTCGAAGAAGACTCCCTGGGGAATGATCTTCCCCAGGGATGCTGGCGCCATAGCCGATGTAAACGTATCGTTCAAGCCGCCGCAGCCAGGAGGCATGGTGTGCGCCAAGGGCAAATGCACTTTGAATGTGAATCCTGAAGCCTGGAGTTCCATCGACGTTCCATGCTGAGGGGGTGGCCAAGACGCGACGCACAACGCGACTCGCTGAAATGCAACGGCTCCGACGTCAAAATAGAGAGGCCCTAGCACCTGTACAAGAGCTTTAAACACGGAAGAATAAGGCCGCTCAGAGAGCACGATAACAGATTTCTGCTCCCCCCCTCTCCGAAGCCTCTCGTCATGCCTCTGGCGATTAAACACGAACCCATACAAATACCTTGACTCTCCACATCGTCCTCCTCCTCCTCCTCCTCCTCCTCCTCCTCCTCCTCCTCCTCCTCCCCCTGACGCCCCTGCTTTCCAAAGAGACGAAGCGGTCTCGGAGGAAATCACGCCATTGAGGGTTTTGGAAGTAGAAATGCTGCTGCTGTTGCTGCTACAAGAAGACGAACAAGCACAATCGGAAGACCGCTGCCGTCCTCTGATGCTCCAGCTATTCTCCTCGCAAGTCCGCTGGGCATCACCCGCTCCTGCGCGGAAGGTTGATGCCTCCGCTTCCCCATCCCCACCCTCTTCCCCTAACCGCTTCTCCTCTCGCCCCATACGCCGCTCTTCATTCTCCTCCGAGAGGGACACCTGGCCGGCGAGAAGAGATGACGTCGTGGCGGGAACGTACGACGACGCGCGTCGGCCATCGTCATCCAGGCTGAGACTCCTGTCCAGTAACGCGGCAATCCGGTCCGTTGGCAACGACGGATGCGTCGTCGGATCCGACATCAAGGATGAGAAGGAGAGAGATCTGCCTGAGGGAGGGGGATTTTCAACTTCAGCGCTCCCGCCATCGCCGCCCACCATGTCGCCCATTTCGTCCTCCGTCTCCCCTCCACTAGAGAGCGAGTCATCGCCAGAACCCCTCCCTGTCCCCGACGGAGGGGGGGATAAAAGCGGCCCTGGAAGACAGTCTGTCTCTGACAAACGACTTGCCTCGAATGACGACGGACTCCAGCTGCCGTCGATCGCTTCCGAGCTCGCGCCGGCGGCAGCATCCTCACCGTCTGCACCTAACACCGACCCGTCGCCATCATCAGAATGGTCAACTGCAAGGAATTCCCCTTCTACTTCCACATTACGTACCCAGGCAGTCCTCACTTCTGACATCTCAGACAGGATCTTTCCACCCGCCGACGAGGCCGGCGGTGATGACCTCACCGTCGGCAGCGCCGCCGCAGGACCGTCTTCTCGCGCACGGGGGAGACCGACCATCTTGTCCCGATCTGAGGCACACGTCATATCACCAGTCCCGACGAAGGCTGCCGAGAGTGGGTCGTCACTACGACCTGCGCCCTGCTGCGCTTCTCCAGAGGACACGTGTACACTGCAGTCGGGTACCGGAGATGGCCCTGCTGAAGACAAATCAGTTGGCGGAGGAGACTCCGACCCTGGGAGCGTTGATGAGACTCCAGACGAGGAAAAGGCGAGGGCAGGACGACGCCCTCGCCGTCGGATCCGAAAGAAGAAGACGCTGTCGTAAATGCTGGCACGATTGCGTGAAGTGGACATGGAGTCGGGAAAAGCGGAGAAAGCTATGTCCGACTCCTCTTCGGCTGACATCACGCCTTCTGGGAACCGTTCTTCCACCACCTGGCCCTGCTCCAGATCAAATCGAACGGCACACATCCCGACCATCCATCGCTCAAACCCCCAACGGTCGAGATCGAGTGATTCAACGGGAGGTACTGATGAGCTTGAGGTCTCTTCCCCTCCGACCCTACCGGTAGTGCCGAGCGAAGAAGGCAAACCGGGGGTCATAGCGGAGGACGACAGAGAGGATGAGGAGAAGGAGGAAGACGAAGAGGAAGAGGCGTGGATTACACCATTAACAGAGCTCACGACTGCCATCTCGGCTTTCGTTGTCGTCAAAGCAAGAGGAAGGATGAGAGCTGGCGGGGTCAATGTCCTATCAATCAAACAGGTAGCAAAGAAAACGAGATGTGTGTAAGCTCTCACAGACAGAAGACAATTGGTCCCCACGCAGCGGCATCATTATCATCGATAGTGATTCGTCTGCGACGAGGAGAAGAAGAAGAAGAAGAGGATAAAGAACAAAGAGGAGGAGGAGGAGGCAGATAACGCGATGATAAGAAGAAGAAGAAGATGATGAAAAAGCAACGAGGAGAAGAAGAAGAAGATAAAAAAGCAACGAGGAGAAGAAGAAGAAGATGAAAAAGCAACGAGGAGAAGAAGAAGAAGAAGAGGATAAAGAACAAAGAGGAGGAGAAGGAGGAAGATAACGCGATGATAAGAAGAAGAAGAAGATGATGATGATGAAAAAGCAACGAGGAGGAGAAAGAGGAAGAAGAATAAGATCACTCCACGCAATGTTGTTCCCCCAAAGCCCAGACAAAAAGAGATGTGGATGGTCTTCGCGCCCGGTCATTTACCCGGTAGGCACCAAAGACTACCAAGAACTTCAGTAATGAGTCATCATCACATCGAATAGGACGAACCACAAGGGGAAGACGAGGAAGAGGACGGGGAGGACGACAAGAAAAAAGTAGAAGAGCACCACTCCACCTCACTCATGAGGAGAGAACCATTCCACAACAATCCTATTCTGCTCCCATATGGAAAACAGTCCCGGTTGCACCTGATTTCGCCGAAAAGCCGACTGCAACGTCTTCCTATTTCGTCCTTTCCCGCGTTACCCACGCTGCCAAGGCCTGGACTCTGCATTGCCCCCATGTCCATGTCCGGCCAAAGCGCCCACTTTCAATACCGTGGCCATCCTGCATTGCATTGCTTGGTTTACCCATCCATGCCACGCCTCATCGTGTCACTCGGAAGTACACGTGTCGACAAAGTAATGTCTCTATCGACAATCATTTCCTCCACCGCTCTCTCTCTCTCTCTCTCTCTCTCTCTCTCTCTCTCTCTCTCTCTCTCTCTCTCTCTCTCTCCACGTGTCCGCAATATAATGTCTCTATCCACAATCATTCCTCCAGCTCTCTCTCTCTCTCTCTCTCTCTCTCTCTCTCTCTCTCTCTCTCTCTCTCTCTCTCTCTCTCTCTCCACACACAAGCAGGTACGCGCGCGCACAGAAACGCCAGCCGGCAAGCACAAAGGCCCGCACGAGTAGAGAAAAGGCATGCAGTCAGACACACACCAGTCTCCAGCACCGATGGCTCCCTCAGAACGTCACCCAGACAGTTCCGCCTTTCTTTCTTCCCGGTCGTATAGCTGCTTTTCCGCCCCCCCTCACTCTTCACCTGCACCCAACAAGCCCTCAGCCCGCACTGCCGCCGGTTCGAAGCGGATTTCTGTCCTTCTCCTGCTATCTGGTAGCATCAGGGTACATACCCGAAGGACTGTTCGCATCTTGTTGGACCCAATAATGGGCCTCGCTCCACCACACTCGACATTCATAAAAGACCAAAAAATATGGCTGTGTACCTTTCCATATTATGGTCGAAGATTCCTTCTCGTTTTGCAGATTTCGTGATTATAGTGGAGCGAGGCCCAATTGTGCGAAAAATAAGTAAGACCGAGACTACTTTGGCATGTCGAGCCGCGAGAAAGAGATCGTCCATCCCCGCGCTCTCTAGAGGCTACCTCAGGGGAATAGCTACCCTTCCCATCCTCTGTTCGAATCCAGCGCCCGAAGACATAAACGGAAAATGGTAATCACGGGTGAATGAGTCGACAAGAAAAGAAGCCATGAGGGAAAAGGAAGGCCCGAGCAAACCACCGAGCAGACCTGTGCACAACGGCTACCCGGGGCAAGGTCCCACTTGCACGGATTAAGAGATTCTGGCCGTTGACCTTTGCTATCTACGGTCAGTATCGCTTAAACCACCAGTACTTGGCCCAGCTATCGGCCGTGGGCCTTCCCCGTTAACGCCCCGACACCTTCGGGGGTCGGCCAAGGGAAGGCCCGGTCGCGTCTTGAAGGCCGGGCCGGGTTCTTTCTTTTTTTTTTTTTTTTTTTTTTTTACAAAGAAACTCTGCTCATTCTTATTACCACACACAAAAGGAGGCCGGGAATACCTCAACACACAACCCGGAAGAAAGTAAATTGTTACTGGGACCATTACCCAGCTTAGGTGCAGGCCTTGGGACCCTGTGGTCTAGGAGCAGGAATGGCCAAAACACGACCGCTGCCCTGACTCATCCCAACCCTAGGAAAAAGAAAATTAACCAACATGGTCATTAAAACCGAACACAAACCACCAAAAAAAACTCGAGAACCACCCACGCCTACCAGTCCTTTTTTTTTTTTTTTTTTAATTTGGACCATTTCTCGATTTATGCGTGTCATCCTTGCGCAGGGGCCATGCTAATCTTCTCTGTATCGTTCCAATTTTAACAGATGTCCCGAAGGACCACCTACCAATCCTACCGCCAAACTTAGTTGTATTGGAAAGCAACACAGTAGCACTAGATCTACTTTAACAACTCTAAACCTAACCTTACTATATTTCAAGGAACTTGATAACCACCTAATCGCGGTCGACCAACCTGTGCACTCCCTCCGCCTACTGTTCCCTCTGCCAGCCTACTGTGGCTGCATAACCGAGTGACCAGGTACCTCCTACACCAATACCTACCCACAAAGCCAACGAAACCTCCCAAACCAAAGAATTCAATGAGGAAACTATTCTATCATATAAAAGTGATTCGGCTTCCAAATTAGGAGAAAAACAGCCAGGGGTCTAAGCACAGTTGATTGTTCTCTCCTACCCTGCACAATTTACCATTCAATGCCCAAGTTTGATTGAACCAGCGTAACCCTGTCTGGAGGTTTGGTCTTGCTGCTACTTTTCGTCTCCAGTCTGCTTGAATAGCATGTCTGAGATGGGATTTGAAGGTCTGGCGGATTTGTTTGTTGGTCCAATCCTTGCTATCAAAGACTTTGTCATTTCTGCATTGCCAGATGACCGCGAAGCATACCGCTCTGGCAGATTGAGCCACAAAAACCCAGCCGGGTTCTTTCAGTAGGACACCACAAAACAAAACAACAAAGAAAGAAAGAAAAAATTCAAATACACAAAAATTAAAAAACAAAGAAAACGAAAGGTAAAAGACGAAGTCACGCGGGAGGGAAGGAGGGAAGGAGGGGAGGGGGAGGGGAGAGG